CATACACACAGGGTCGTCCCAATATGCGTTTTTGCAATTTGCATATAGGCAAAAACGCATAAAAACCAGTTCAGGAAATTTGAAAAAAAGGCAAATTCACATCTCCCTAATCGTCATCAGACTGATACTAGACAATGCAGCACCTGACAAAGCAACTTCAAAAGTTATTAGCTGCATAGCTAAAGGACCAGGCTACGAACTGCTGCTGATCAAATATTAATAGCTGTCCTTTTAAAAATAAATTACGATAAAGTCACCTCATTTTGCTGACCGTTTGAAGATCGTAACTCATTGCCAGTGAAACATAGGAGTAGTTGACGAAAGCATAGGTGATCAGAAATGGCATTGTGGAGAGGACTGCCAGCTTGTTCAAATTACCGATAATCACAGAAATGATCGCAATCAGAGTCATTACAAGGCCCGCTCGTACTGGAGTTCTATTGGCGCCTTGCTGGAAATAAAAAGCATTGCAAAACTTCACCTACGTACACACCAAGATGTGCATCTTATTACATACTTTGATAAGATGTTATTTCATCATAGCGATTCTTCTGGCCACTGATGCAGCTGGCAACTTCTCCATTCTTCTCTTTTTTGAGTCACATTTATCCAAATAACTTTGTCAAAGTAATCAGTGGGCCTTTCCAAGTTACTACCCTTTCTTGTGCGCGTTTAACATTGTGTAGACACCATTCATAAAGCCCTTTTCATACGCTGTTTTTCACCCGTCGTACATTACAGTCCTAGCTCTACATTTTAGTTATCTGATAAAGTCTTTAGCGAATTGTTAAAAGAACACAGGAGAAACCATCAGCGCTGTGAAAAAATTAGCAAGAACGAATTTTTGAATGTAGGCGAGTTAGGGAAGCCCAAATAGAGAGGAATGGAGAAGCCGCCACCTCATTAACGACAAACTGCAGTATTCAGCTAACTCCAGCTGACAAACTTTATGGACGAAAAAAATATTTGTGTATTGGCACCTCCAATAGTAAAAGAACAGCTGGAGAGCCAACGATGCACTGTGCCAACCCGTTTACTTAAACATGTGGTGTAGCGTACGTATGAAGAATTGAAGGCTGAAGTCAATGGCATGACTATCGGCTAAACCGCTGGCGAGCGTTACAAATATAAATCAGTCGTTTCAAGTATTCAGTTAGTAATCAAACTGAGAAATGGCAGAACTGTATATAACCACCTTGTGATTAATACAATTAATTCAGTTTCACAGACTTATGGAGATATTAATCACAATATGCACGAAAAACCATAAAATTATTTTAAAACTCCTGTCGCAGTTTGCTGAAACAACCTACCCCAACTGCCAGTGGATTCAGGACTGGTATGATACCCTCGGAAGCAATACTCTGAATTACACGTGGCGTGCCGAGCAGCGTACCAATCGTCGAGCTGAGCGATGAAACGTACAGACCAGTGAGAAAGAGGAAACCGGTTAGTGCGACTTTTTCCGCAATCATTGTATCGCAGATCAGGTAAGCCCGATCGACCAGCGACCCAAGTACAAGTATAAACGTCAAAGTTATCATCGAACTGAAATTAGTGTTTATCATATTTATACAAACAATACTCAACAATAACAATACATCGAGGTGTTATTTTTTTGTGTTGTTACTGCAGTGCTCCCATTCGGTGAACGCAGTTATGTCCAGACCCTTTGATCCTAAACAGCATGCCTTCGGTTAGTACCATCGCTTATTCGATGCATGTGCTTCACTTTTTCGGGAGCTACCTGAATGACCGTTTATTGTCTCTTGGATACCAATTAACTGAGGGAAGTGAAGTTCAGCCTTCTGAAGGAATTTTCTCCCACGATTGGCAGTAGAAGTAACATTTCCATTACGCGATTCTGAAGAGTAGCATTAGCAGTTCTTGTGAATGCTAAGACACTGATTGCAAATCCGCTCTCGTAGCGGTTATTGAGGATTGTGACTTTTGGAGAAACAGATTCGTTTTGTGAGCTGGAATAATTGGCTTGTTTTCCGAATTTTTCAACCGGTGGATCTTAGACTACAATATAGACCAATCTATCAATAAAGAAATTGTAAAGTTTTGGCTTGGACGCTTTACGGAACCTGACATTTAAGAGTAATGAACTTCAAATTTCGACCAATAAACTAACAACATTTTGGTGTTTCAAATTCTGAATAAAAATCTACAAAAGAAAAATCAAAGACCTGACAGAAATTGCTGATAGTTCACCAATTGGTATACTCAGCTGTGGATTTTTCAAATCGTCGCTCATGTTCACACCTGAAAATCTAATGTTTCTCAGCAAATTTTCAGATATAAAATTTCGTCATTATTATCATCGCTGTTATTATTGTTACTGTTACTATTATTACTACTACTATTATTGTTACTGTTATTATTGTTGTTATTTTTATTATTACCTGACAGAATTATTCCTAGTCCGCTTAACAAAACTCACAATTTTTTCATGGTCAGGTTTTTTTTTGACCATTTAGCAATAGGCTGAATCACCAAGTGTGGAGGAATTGTTAAATTTTTCCGACTGCTTACGTGCTACGTTTGGTTCTTTGTTTAACTGCCGCAGCATGAGTAGTCTGAAGGCAGTTACTAAATTTGCCCAGCTAATTCCAGGGATGGCTAAAGCCTCACCAACTGTTTCTTTCAGGGGAATCATTCAGCAGATTATGTTTTCTGGAGAAGAAACGAAAGCAAAGATCGATAGCAGGTGACCACTTCGAGATATAGCACCGGTCGGAGTAGCCCTTGAAATGAATAATATGCCAGCACCAGAGATGGAGAGCCAAACTGTGAATTAACAACTGTTCTAGGTTTAAAAATAAACCACTAAAACACACGCTTAAATCTGCACGGATAAAATTCCCATTGTTTCACAAGATTCGTTAAGAAATTAACGAACCTGCCAAGACGCCAAGGAAGTTTGCAAAGAATACACCAAATACGGTGAAAAAATTTTGAGGGCTCTGTTGGACATCATAACCGAGAACTGAACAGTTGAAGCCGGCATACATGGGAACTGAATTTAGGTCGAATCGAAAAGCAGAAAAGTGTCCGACGCCATGCTCTGAAAAATATTTCAATTTTTTCTCGAAAAAACTTAAAATTTCAAAAAACTTGAAATCATTTAGTACATAGCAAATGTTAATGTACCTATCAAATCGTGCAGTGGTCCTAGAATAATTAAAATCTAGCAAACGTCTGATCTTCTAGTTGGCAAGGTACTTATTGTGTTGTCGTGTCTAGGAATGCCAGCATTCGAAAAAAGATGGCAAAGGCCAGTACGTAGCAGTAGCATCTCGTTTATGCGACTTGATGGGCCGAAACATTCCTGTTTAGGTATTTTATTTTTTCATGTTCCTCACGTCTTGTTCAAACTTTCCGTTTCATTTCACTTGTTACTTAGATGGTAATTCATAAATGCTGATCATTACTGCATCGATTTATCACTGCTCCACTTCCGAAACGGCTAAAATCTTGCCAAGCGCTATTGCCGAAAAACCGTTGAATAGGTAATCTCGTCAGGAGATAAAGCGGAGGTTAGGGTCGCCAGCAATACAACCGCCAGGAAATGCGCCACCAGTCAAAGCAAATGGAAAAGTTGTCACGTGCGCAGCTAGGAAAGAATTGCTGATGAATGAAATAATAGTGACTGTTTTTATAATCGTTGTCAAAATTATCTTTCTTTTTCCTAAAGTTCTGTTTGTTTAAATAATGATCAAGGACTGGGCCAGGACTTTTGAAGAGTTTAGTCATTGAAATCTGACGTCAGATCCCAAATTTCGATGCTTGACTACGAAAAGCGAGGCAGAATTTGACAAGGGCAATCGCCCATTGACAAGGCTTTTCATTCTGACGGTTGCTTAGAAAATGAACTGAAAGCAAACGTTAACCTGTATCGATACGAAACACAGCACCCAAGTAGAAATCGACGACAGCAAGAGCCAAAAATGCAATTAAAATCAATTGCAATCGTATGACCCAACGTGCGCCAGCCATGTTGATACCTAGAAATACTGCTTTTTAAGTGAATTTCAGCTTCGGACTCTGAATGAAACCAAAAAATTGCATGCTAAAGTTTAAACTCATACACTTCCATCAAACAGAAGCAGTCATCGAATGAATTCCACTGAGTTTCTTGAAACAACTGTACTTGCCTGTTATGCCCTTCAAAACTGAGGAAGCATAACACTGGCATAAAACAGGAAGACAAAACAAAAGATTTAACATAGAATGCGAAATTCCAGTGAATTGAAGCAAAAGTCAAGAAAATCGAGGAAAAAATGGGTTTAGGATGAAATGGGTTTAAAATGGGTTTAGTCGCTCTGATTTCTGTCGTGAATTGCGTTAAGTTGCAGACCGGTGCTAAAACGAGAGACCACCGGGCAAAAGTAACGACAAGTTGGAGCTTATAACTAACCTGTCAGAATTAGCAATGTTGATACTGCGATGATTTTATCAGCAACAGGATTTTCCGTGCCAAAAAGTCGAGCGATACTTTCACCGAAACCAATCGCAACCAATCCAGTTGCTACTGACTGAAATAAAGTGAAGCTAAGCGTATTTCTATAGGGCGTCGTGCAAGATATCACTGCGACCACGCGAAAAAGTATTTTCAGCCGAATGAGGTATATTGCTCATATTGCTTTCAGCTGGTAGACGTTGCGCATTAGTGATTGGCATCCGCGTGAAATTAAAGGACCACTCAAACGGTCCTCCCTTACGTCGAACACGCAATGGCGCTAACCGGAGTTATGCAACCCAAGAACAAAGGCCATGATATATCAGTGCCCAGCATTGAATGTATTCGAGCAACACCACCGAAATGGGATATTCATTTCTGTAGTGTCATGAACAGAGGCCCTTTTCAAAAAGGTTGCGGGTCAGAAGTGAACCGAACCACTTCTCCTCTCTTCCCAACGCGACGTGCTATCCACTACACCACTGTTTTTTGTGCTCCATGATCGCCCTGGCACCATATCCGTTATATTCCTGCCTATCTAGGTAGAATACACTTTTCTTCTTGTTGCACCTGCAGGAAGTATACATCTTTTTTCCTTGCAGCGGCTTCTCATTTGCCAGTATTTTGAGAATTTTCTACGACGCGTGAGTTGGCATTCCTGATAGTTATTACACATCCTTCATATGCTCAGTTTTAGTCATAAATCAAACAACATAATTTGCGCATCTACCTGGCCGAAAGCATACATCAAGCCAACAGCTCCACCTATTTGTCCACCCAGTACATGCGATACGAGAAAGTAGATGCCACCGCTTTGTATCTGGCACCGCTCGCAA